CTTAATAGCCCCTTATTGATGTCCAGAGATATTTGGATGACAGAAAAGGTAAAGGTTACAAGTGTTTATTGGCAGCACACTGGCAAAATGAAGATAAATCAGCTAATGCTTGTTGCTTTATTTGGTGCTTACCTCTTAGGAAAGCATGGGGTTACCTGCTACATCTATGACTTTTTTTTTTGCTGTGTAAATCTCTTGATCAGCATACTAAAGTGAATCTTTGATACGAAATCACATCTCTTATTGTCAAAATGTATAGGTTGGTAGAATGCTTTCTTTACTTTTTCCTTATTTTTTTACTGAAAAATTCTCTGCCTTCCTCACTTTGAGTTCCAGTGTAAGGAATTAGCTGAATAGAATGAAGGAACATAGGGGAAGTACCTTGAAGCTCAGATAACCGAATAGGATGAAGTCATGTCACACTTGGTGTTTGAACTGAGTTCAGGAGCTTCCCTATGAAACAGATTTCTGAATTAGTTTGATGCACTTCAGAGAACTCCAGGTGCCCTTCAGGTGAAGTTTTGAAACTGTGAGAAAAGCTAGGGTGGGTTCCTGAGCAAAGATGAAATAACAGAGGTATGTTTTTATTAATTTTTCTCTCAAATTCACTGGTAATGAACTCTATTGCAGGCCTGTAATTTGCTAACACATTTTTTTTGTTCCAAGTTTGGTTATGGGACTAATAATTGCTTTTCTGTTTGTTCCCAGAAAATGAGGCCACATTTTTCCTGTTCTCAAACAAAATATATTGAAGTTTACATAATCCATCCAACAATTTAGCTACTCATTGCTTTACTTCTCCACAATTTAATGTGGTATATCAAACCAATTGTGAGACTGCCAGACAAAATATCCAACAAAAGTAGTTTTTTCTGCTTTGTCAGTTTTTTTTCCATCTTTATTGGAGTTCATGTGATGGAGTTTGCACTGAGAAACAATCATGTAGGATGATACCTGCCTCCCTTTCTTTCACAAGTTTCTCATAAAAAAAGAATCCACTGGCACATTCTCATATCTGACTGGAATGGAACTGTGCATGACAATTAAACTGATGTTGATGATTCCATTTGTTCTCATACAGTAGCTGTTCCTACCTTACTTGAAGTAATTGCTTTTATTTATGAAATTATTTTCTCTCAGACTATACACCTGCTTGTCGATATTCACAGGTTGTTCACTACCTGGCCCTTTAATGGTAATCTCTGGTAATTCTCTGTGTTCCAAGCCTTTGGAGTCTGTTATGATCTTTTAGAGAGGAAAGAGATGGAGGAGGATTACAGTTGTCTGTAAATAATGAGGCAGGTGGGTTCTTTATGCCAGCTGTGCAAAAAAAGAGTTCAGTGATGTAATCAAATGCCAAATATGAGCTAGTGTATGCCATGGTTATTGAACCTTGTGAGGCTAGACATGAATAAGCATGAATGTTGCTATGGCTGTGACTAATGCACCCATAGATTGATTCCATTTTATTCTGGATGGCTATTTTATCATTAGTTTCAATTGAAAGTGAGAGTAGTAAACCAATTTTTATAGTTACATGGTGACATTGAATGGTGAGTTTTATGAAAGACTAATATAAGTAGTGATAAAAGTTAATTTTTACTTTTTGTAAGAAAACAAGGAAAACGGAATTGCTGGTGAGAAAAATTTGTTGCATTAAAAGAACATATTATGAATTTAGCTGTTATTGAGTTTGCTCGTACAGTCTCCAAACAAAGATAGATTGTTTATTCATCTAGTGTAGAAACAAGGTACTCCCAGAAAAGGCAGTATACCAATTTTTCTACCTAGTTTTCAAGAAATTTTAGGGACCTACATTTCCCCTTCTTAAAAGGAAATATTAAATATTTTTCAGAAGGTGCAAATTTAAGGGAATTCACTGTATGAGTCCATAAAATCTGAACATTTCAGGCCCATTTCAGAACTAGTTTTTCAGAAAGAATCCAACTTTCTTTCCTAATTCCCCTAGCATAGTTTCCCTTTCAGGTTATCTCTCTCGAGTGTCTAGTGTCACAGCTGCATGCTGCCAGATTCTTAGCTGTGTGATCGTCCTGTATGTTTGGTTGTGCTTGATGACGGCTTGGGATCTAGTTGGACCTATGCCACATGGAGTATCCTGTAGGCAAACTTGTATTCAGAAAAGAGGTTAATATACATTTGAGTCCCATTTTCACATGCCTTGCATCTCTGCAATGTGAGTACATATATGTGCTTGGACATTATGGTAAAGTTGACTTCAGTGATAGATAGTATAGATGCAGTAGGTTGATAATGTGATCCCGTGTGAGATGCATTGTGTGAAGAAGATATGCAGCCTCAGGATGTGTTATGGACCCTGAAAGACAGGTCTCAACGAGGCACAGGACAAAAAGATATGCTAAAGAAAGAGGTAGTAATTCCACCAAGGCAGATGTTAGAATTGGAATAAATGGTCTTGGCAGAAATCAGAGGGCACTGACTCCGGGTCCCTGCTGAAGAGGGGCCGAATTGCTGCTGCCACTCACCATGAGGCTGCAAGTTCACATCTTTCAGGTGGGATGAATAGTAAGGTTGTGCCTTTGGTTGGCTGACTCCTGAGAGGGAGATGCTGAAGCGTCAGCTCACAAATGGAGGACCACCCTCTGCAGATGTGCTGAAAGGCTAACAATTGGATCTCTTGTTATACATTCAGCAACATAATTGGAAACAAGTAGTTACTAATGTTATGATATGAAATTATATATTATATTAGTTTTGAACAGTGATAAATGTGTCATGAAGTATTTTAACAAAGCTTCTTTTCTTCTTTTTTCCCAAAAGTTCTTTAAACTCTTAAGTCCTGTAATAATGGGTATGATAAAAACTTTCACATTTGATACTGCAAGGTAAGAAATACAAGAATCTGGGTCTGTTGACGCTATTCTTTTGCTTTGTGTGCTCAAAATAATCAGTGAACTTCTTTTCTTTTTTTATGTTAATTTGTTAGTGTAGTTGGTATTCTGTGACAACCTGAGTTTTCATGCTTGGGGTGGATTTGACTGTAATGACACTTTGATAAATCTCTTTTTTTCAGACAATGGAGTGCTTCTGTGAAGTGGCTGCTTACAGTAGCACCTTCAAACTCAGACAGTCTGCTCTTTTCATACATTTAGATATGTCTGTTAATTTCACTCACTGGCTCTTTTTTTCTTCTATTTCTGCTGTAAAGGCAACACATAAATCTTTGTTCGTTCTGTTCCATCTAAGCCCACTAAAATACTTTTCTGCTGCACTGCCTCGGGCTCTCATTTACACTACAGCAAGGCAAGTTTCTTTTCCGCTTGTAAACACTATAGATAAGCACAGAAAAACGAATTTTAAGGTTAAACAGGCTCTGGGTTTTCACAAGTGTCTTGAATGTTATTTACAGAAATCAAGAATCTTCCCCTGATGGCAGTGCCTCTCAAGGTATAAGCAGAGTTTTAGAGTGAAGCAATCTCTAAAATGAATTTTTGACTAGTCCTTTTCTTCTTCTTGTCCCTCCATTCTTTGCATAGTTTTTAATAGTCAGAGTTACTACAATCCAGGTTGTAATTCATCTGCCATACATCACAGAGCAAGGGCAAGTCTCCCTGTTGCATATCTATTTCCTGAACCTGTTCTTCTCCCACCTGGAGAGGTGGAAAAATTGAAAGATATTTAGGTGGTCATGGAGTATCTGTCTTGGTGCTTCTCAAGGATAAAGTGCCAAATTTCACAGACTTTCCGGGGAGATGGGTGTTATCAGTTGCGGAAATGAGTGAGGAGTCTGAAACTCAGACAGTTGGCTGCTGTGGTTAAGAATAAAATGAACAAAAATAATCCACTCCAACCATCAAAGCCTTCCACTTTTATTTTATTTTAAACCAGAATTGTCTGCCTGCACTGTGTGCAAACTAGTAGTAACCCCTTTGGCTCAAGCAAGAGTTTGAACCACTGTCTCCTTTCTTCCTCCTGCCCACTTGTCCTGTAACTGAGAGGCGAACAACCAACACCAAGACAAAGGTCTGGTCTCCAGCTCTTTATTGCTGAGGGGCTGATGAGCACATTGGAGCACATGGGGCAGCCATGCAGGAAATACCTCATCTACCATGAAGTAGAGACAGTGTTGCCCTTAAGGTCAGAATTGTGGTCTGGAGCTGTGACAAAGGCATCTAGTTTGCTCCTTTTTCTGCAGTGTAGGAACAACTGGCTGGATTATTTGAAAAGACAGTATTTCGTTGCATCTATAATGTTTATCTGCCTCGAGTTCTATTGTGTTGGAAATTGCCTCATTAAAAGGCTGTGAGTGTTCCTTCTATTTATTTAGTTAGTTTATTTCTCACCTTTCTTTTCTGGCCATAATTCTACTGAAGAGCTTTGCTTTCTATCACAAAGGAAGCTTTCTTGAGACTTCAATAAATAAAGTGGAATTGCTTTAGGGAAATTTCCTTCCTGGTTATGTTCATGTATGCTTTTTGTGTGTATGTACGTAGATATGTGAGGCAGATGGTAATAAATAGTTCTGCAAACTATGATGTTTACTTCCTGCATTTTCATGAATTTCTCAAAATCTGAAATTTCTTGAAGGGTCTTGAATTGCACATTGTAAAGTTTTGGGAAGAAAATATAGGAAGTGTATTTGGTTTGCTTCTTAAGAAATGTAGCATCTCTGTCTTAACAAACAGTTTAGCCCTGATGTATTAAGGTTGTCCATTAAAAACTTCTATCTAGGGCCTCCAGAGGTGATTCTACTGTGTGGAGACCTCCAAGTTACAGCAAATTCCCATCATGTGTCCTCTTTCTTAACGTGTGTCACGGGAGAAGAGGCAGGAATAAAAGGCTGTGTGCATCTTTCATCAGCCTGTAATTTCTCATTTTGGGGGGTACAGGCTGCTGTGTGCTATGCAAGTTGTAATACCAAAGACAATAGAAGTGGCCTCAGATTTAAAATGAATTAAAAATTGTTGGCTTGCAGACTTTGGTAAATGTATACATAGATATGGTTGTTTCTCTGTTTTTAGGAATACACTATAGATATAATTTTTGCCCAGACTTGGTATGACAGTCGTCTAAAATTTAACAGCTCAATGAAGGTGCTTATGCTTAATAGCAATATGGTTGGAAAAATTTGGATTCCAGACACTTTCTTCCGGAACTCAAGGAAATCTGATGCTCACTGGATTACAACTCCAAATCGTTTGCTTCGAATCTGGAGTGATGGAAGAGTATTATACACGCTAAGGTGGGTTTTTATTAACTGGGAAGGAACAAATAAAACTGTTACAGCCACGAACATGAAAATTATTAATATGAGTCAAAAACTTGGCATCACTTTTGTTTTAGACCACAGGAATTTGCAAGGTGTTTACTGAAGGAGAAAATAAAATGATTATTTTGTCATGAAAAGCATGAGATTAATAGTATTGAAGTATATTGCCTAGATAATTGAGTAAAGACAATTGAAGAGGACATAAAATTTTAATCTCATTTAAGTACAGACTAGATTAAAAATAAGATGGTATATAGCATGAGGCACCACCATTGTCTGTTGCTAACATATCTAGTCATAATTTGTTTTGCAGAATTTCTGTTCTAAATAGTTTGGTATCTACTTTTCCACCAAAATATATTCTGTATGTAAAATACTAAATGCATCAGATTTATATGCTAGTAATATTATATGTTTTATATATGCTAATAAAAATAATAAAATTGGTTAAAGCTAGGGCTCCAGACCTGCGTATAGTTCTTAACATGTTTACCCTCACAAGCTATTAAGATCAACAAATCTGTTTGTCCAAATTGAACATAAACAAAAAAGTTGGTGATAATTCTTCTTGGCAAATGAAGGATGCTTGGGCTGGTTATAAGCTTTTCATCTAGGCTGTCTATACTGATCCTTGAGTCGCTTTTCAAACAGTTTTTGAAAGGCTGTGGTCTACAGAAAGCATGCAGGGTCATCTCTCAGTTTCATTTTTTAAGTATGCCTAACCATCTTGCAATAAATTAGGAGCTGATCAAGAAGCAGTCCATGAAGTAGACGCCATAAATCTGATTCCACTCTTAAGAACATATTTGTTTTGTTTATTTTAAACAAAAAGTAGCACCTTTTAATTACTTTCTTTTCATTCATTTATGCTGTTTTCATATGCAGCCTAGTTGTGTTGTATGAACAACTTGTAAAAGTCTTCTGTATAAGAAGAAAGAAGAATTAGAATGTTTAAAAAGGATTTTCTTTGCTGATTTTTTCCTAGTATGCTTCATTTCACAGCATACAAATATCTCTGAAGAGCACCTTTTGAACAGTTTATTATGCCGATGTTTATAAAACTCTCTAGAGAGCCTCTCCTGTTGATGTGCTAATATATATATATTTTGTCTTATTGTAGCTAACAATTTTAGAGTCATATGTGGACTTTACCCTTCCATTGTCCATTCAGTTTCAACATACAATTTCCTTTGAATAGAGTCTAAGTAACACAGAGAGTCAAACAACCAAAAATACATATGAGCTCTCCCAGACCAATAGGTTAGAATTATTGTGCTAGAGTGTGAGCTATGGAGTGAAATGAGCTAGTAATAAAACAGCAGAACAGGTATTTACCCAGTGCTGCAACATGCAAACATCTGTATAGGTGAGGGTATGGTCTGAATTTGGCCTAAGGTGGAATAACATTGAGGGTTCATCTGTTAGTTACTCAAGAAACAATAATAGGATCTGACAGTGCTCCTGGTTCACGGACTCCCCTGTACCACCACTCATTCTCTGTTGGTAATTCAGGGAGCAGACGTGATTCTGTTAGTCAGGCTTACTGAGTCTTCTCTGATGCTACTCTTTGGTCTGTCCATTGCATGCATCAGTAACTCCAGATCTAATTGTATTGCTTTTAATAAAAATCATCTTTTCTTTTTTTAAGTGTTTGACTATCCAAAGGTTGAAAGTAGAAAACAAAGGCAATCAATGCATATGCTGTAGTTGGCAAATTTGAAAAGCATCTTCAGAACGATTTAAATGTTTTACTTGGAAATTGGAGTGTTACCAACAAAGGAGGATATATTTTAAATGCAAAGAAGGCAGTCTAGGCCCTTATTCTAGCTTCCAGATAGTCTCAAAAGCAGCAAGTGATTCAGATGATATCATTATGAGTCCTAAACTACTTCAAAAATGTCTATTAGTTCTGTGAATTACTTGAATGACTTTGACATTAAATGAGCAGAAATATGTAGTCTGTTCTTTCCTATCCGTGCTACTGTCTCCACCAGAGCTGTTTCTATGAGTATAGATTAAACCCAAGGGTGTCCCCACTTTCTCTCTTGTGTATATAACCACCAGATACAATGACGCCAAATGCAATTTGGCTTGACAAATTCATCCTTCAGAAAATTCCTTTATGTACTATCATAAATTCCCCTCTTTGCCCTGCCTTCAGTTGCTCTCTTTTATCCCCTATTTCTAGTAGAGAGCTGAGAGATGTCCCGAAATCAACTGTAAGTTTTGAAATGGCTTGAAATGCCAGTTGAACCAGTGGAGGTCCTCAGGTTGCATATGATGATATCTTTTGGTCATTGGCAGTGATGCTGGATGTTTTTTGCAGGTTCACAGTTCGCTATGCATAACATCCATTAATTGGCAAAATTGATTTCTGTGCATGTTCTTTACCATCTAGTCTGAAGTGTCAGGATGTTTGAATATAATTTTTTTTCCTTCCTTTTCTAATTAGGCTGACAATTAATGCTGAATGTTATCTTCAGCTTCATAACTTTCCTATGGATGAACACTCCTGTCCACTGGAGTTTTCAAGCTGTAGGTGGTAAAATACTATTTTCTTTTTCTTCTCTTTACATTCAGGCTTTAAATTTCCTCAAATTCTGGCAACAAGAGAGCAAGTGTTTACTTTTTAAAGCCTTGTAGTGAATGAAAGACCTGACCTGTTTATGTTTTGATTAGATTTATTGCATTATTTAATGCATTATTAAATACAGTAATGAATGAGTTGAATTACATGAATTTCATTTAGGTGGAACTTTTAAAATAATCTTATTTCTTAGGAGTCTGATACAATGCTCATTCCAGTTAATGGAAATGTATTGCCCTCAAAGACCTTTAGTTTTTATGCCTGCCAGACTTGCCAGCTTTGAATTAGTTCCATGTGATATACTTAAAAGTAAAAATAATATCTGTCTTCTTCAAGCTGTTCCTGTAAATACTTCATCAGTAAAAGAAGTCCTTCTCCTTTCAGTGGGACTTATTTATGTGAGCAAGAAACAAAACTTTCAGGCTTCTTTTCATTAATATAGTGTCTCTCTCTGTCTCTCTCTCTCTGTCTCTCTCTTTCTCTCTCAAAAGTTCCTAAGGGAATTTTGCTATTACTGGCAAAAGAAACCAAAACTACCTGAACACAGCTAAATAACTTATTCTTAAATGTGAAACCTAATAGGCAATGAAATCAAACTTCAGTGATTCTTTTTAAATTAATAGTTTCTTTTAATACTTCCTTCTTGAGTTCTTCCAGCTAAATGAGATTTGGTAGCTCCATTGATTAAATAGTTGTGTTACACAAGGGAGCCTTGCTTAATTTCAGTTCTGCCTTTCTGCAAAATATTATAGGGCAACATGTGAACCACACAAAAATTAAGAAGGTTGTGATTCCCTGAAGTTGGAGTACTGGACAGTCAGTCACCCACAAAAATCACTTCTGGGAATAATAGACAAAGAAAATTTCAATAAAAGTCAATAGGAATTTTATCAAATTGTGGACTAGTAAGTGCCTGTCCTTTTAAGCTTTGTGATCTTTTAATGGTAATGTGTATTCCATCTGCGTATTAATTCATAGCGATGGTTCTGAGCCAGTTTTTAATATCTGAGTTTCAGAATATTGTGTAGCTATTTCCTAAATGTTTTTATTTACACAGTACTTGATCGTACATTTAGCTAGGCTTAAAACTGAGGCTAGATACTTTGTTTAAATTTTAAATATATCAGGTGGACAACAGATTGGCTTTCTCTCTGAGCCACTTTATCTATAGCCCTGGCTTAGTTTTTAAGCAATGTCAGAGATCACAAAACATGCTTTGTTATATACTGTGGGTAAACACTTGATTTGTTCTCTTTTATTTTAGATGGATATCCCAGAAATGAAATTGAATACAAATGGAAGAAAACTTCTGTTGAAGTGGCAGATCCAAAATACTGGAGATTGTATCAGTTTGCGTTTGTAGGGTTACGAAATACAACTGAAATTTCTCATACCTTATCTGGTAAGGCAAAGTGTTAAGTTTTATTTTGTGTAATATTGATATAGAACAAGATTAACAGATGAAGATACAACTGAAAACCATTTTCAATGTTATGTGAGTGTATTTTTCTTTTTTGATTCATAGGTGATTATATTATTATGACAATCTTCTTTGATCTCAGCAGACGTATGGGATATTTTACTATTCAGACGTACATTCCTTGTATACTCACAGTTGTTCTTTCATGGGTGTCATTTTGGATCAATAAGGATGCAGTTCCTGCAAGGACTTCTCTGGGTAAGAATGGTTTTTTTCCAACCTTGAAGGGTCTGATATTCCTCAGTAATACAAATCTTCTTTAGGGAGTAAATCAACCACAGTTTTTTCCCCTTCGAATTGTCACCATTAGTGACCCTTTCTCTTGGACTGCAAGCTTAAGAGTAGGAGGATCCTGCTGTGGTTGCACATCAGGGTTTAAGAATGGAGTGTTGAGAATGGATATCTGGAAATCATGATCCAAGTTCTGCAGATATCTGTTGTTCACATAAATACTTTTTTCTCTTTATGATCTTTCTGTCATCTCCAGGACAGCAATATGGCAATCATTAGTCTAACAAGGAAGATTAAATTTCACTTAGCATAATGGAAGAAAGGATGTCATTACTACACAGGCGAAAACTATGAAGATTTTTTGTTGCTGTTGGGTTTGTTGCTCTTCAATAAAAGACCAGCTGAATCTTTTCTATTAAGGCCAGGATAGGGCAGAAAATTTGCAACCCAAGTTGCACTTCAAGCAGTTAAGCATATGTCACAAAACCTGACTCACTGTCCTGCATTTACTGCAGACAGTACTGAAGTGTATTGTAAATTCTGCTACAGAGATAATTCTACGTTAGTGTCACCTTGGAAGACCTGTTTAGCATGGTGGCAGTCTCCTTACATTTGACTCTTTAGGATTCATGTGCTGCCATGGAGAAGAGTCATAGTCCACACACAAAGCACGATAGAGAGGGCTGCATGGAGTGCACACAGGATGCACACTAGCAACTTTGAGTTTAGCGGTGACAGATGCTTTTAGTAAAACTGGTGATGGCAGTATAACCTATTTTGAAGGAAAGATCAAGAGCTCAGAGAGTGTCTTAGGAGGTGAGAGATGCGGGTTAAATTTCCTCCTCATCTTATGGGATTGTGAACACACCATTCCCACATTATAGGGGCGTTTCCTACCAGAAGGGTGAGTCCAGGCCTTAATTCCCTGCCCTTCCCACTGAAACTGAACCACTGTGCAGTCAAGCCTGCAAGATTAATGAATCAAGAAGGAAAGTAAGCAAAAACGAGCATGGCTTAGTAGTGTAATGAAAAGGTAAGGGAAGTAAATCAGTCTTGCATCTTAACTTTGTGAAAATCTTTAATAAATAAGTGAAGCTATCTCCTGATAGATTCAAATTTTGATTTAGAAATTTATTATAAGATTTCTGTGACTAGTCATTGGGAATCATTGTGGGTACTGTCTGGAAAAACACTAGCTACTACAGGAAAAACTGTTGTATTGGTATCCTGCTAGTTCTGTATCCAGTTTGTTCTTTTACAGAGTACTTTTTCTATGCCACAAACCTAGAAAATTTGCCTTTGATCTTATGGTTAAGCTAGAGCTTTTATGCTCTGACCTCAGCAGTACTAACGTTCATCTACTTGAGATGTACTACAGATGCCTGCAATATCATATTTACAGCTCTGTGCAGTTAACACTGAGCTCCTTTTGTGTGAACATGCAGAAGCCATCATTTGACAGATTACAGGATGACTTCACTCACATGCAGATGTTCTGGTGAAAAAGAAGGAGAATACCAGTCATACTGATACAATTTTGTAGGAAAAGACTGAGAAGTTAAGACAAGTAAGCCCAAACTAAGCAAAGTCTATCATGGCAAGCAGTCATGATATTGTGGAAAATGTACTCCCTGTGACAGCCCTTGTTACACCTCTTGCACAGAGGAGAGTACTGGAAAAGTCCATGTCTCCTTTTGTCCTTTCTGAACAGAATTCAGTAAGGGAAGTGGTGGGTGTGACTTCCCATCTGGAGGCTGTGCTGTTGTCTGATGTCCTGAAAAGGCCTGGGTCTTTCTCTTCTGTGTATGTTGAAAGATCATGATAGATTCTGGTTTCCCAAAGCAAAAGTTTTGAGATATTTAAAGGTATTTAGGTATTTAACTATGCAGAGAAATGCCCAATTGATTTTCAAAAAACATCTAGTGGGAGTGAAGCACTTCTGAAAAATTCTGTGCATATCTGTTTGCCCTTCTAAGCATGTAATTTCATTGGGAAATCTATTGCAAAATCACCACTTCTTTGCTGCTGCGTGAGCAGTTCATAGCAACCCTTGATTCCACGTTTTGATTTAAGAACCATAAACAGCCTTAAACTAGTGTAACATGTTTATTGCAATAGGCCTGTGCATGTACATAATAAATTATTTAGATGTTCAAGTATTGCTCCCCAAAGGAAAGGTCACATCTTAATCTTGGTCTACTGTGAAAAAGGTTTTGCATCTCCCTGGAGCATCAAATATAAGAGGAACACCTTCTAAATGTTAAACCAGTGAGAAGTGGTATAGCTATGAGATTCTGAACACGATGCTATTAAGGCCAGCCTGTTCTTTTAATTAACTTGTATGTAAGTGAATCAAGGGAAACATTTTCTATTACTTAAGACACAGTATTGAAAAAATACCTAGTAACTTAGAGAGTGAGACCAGAAAGGCCATGAAGGTCATCTGGTTTGATCTGCTACATGACAGAAGCAAACAATTGAAAACATCTTTTTCTCATATTTTCTGAAAGTTTGAAATTTTTGATAGATAATACACTTTTTTTTTTATGAATGTGGCCTTTTGTGCACTTTAATCATTCAAGAGACAAAGGATTTTGTTGTTGTTGATTAAAATCTGTGTTCTTCTTTGTATGCCTGTTGTATCTGTTTTGTGTACTCATTCTGTAACCGTTTTATAAAACGACATAGACTTTCTCAGTGTCATTGTTTTTTTGAGTGTGTTGAAACTTGGATGGGTATAAACTAGAGGTGAAATGTGCTGCCTTCTATATTAACTCATGTCGGCCACTCGATCCATAGGGATGGCATCTTGCAAGAGCACTGATGTGTGTGGGTGAACAGTCATGAATCCTAGTATGCTTCATTTCCTGTATGCCTCATGAATGAATTAAGGGCTAATTCAAGGATTTTTTTGTGACAGTATGATTGAATTACTTACAGACTTCCTTCTTCCTGTCTTCTTTTCATTCTGTCTCAAACAGGCATTACGACGGTGCTAACCATGACAACGTTGAGTACAATTGCCAGGAAGTCACTCCCAAAGGTTTCCTATGTGACAGCTATGGACCTTTTTGTTTCAGTTTGCTTCATTTTTGTGTTTGCTGCGTTGATGGAATATGGCACCTTGCATTACTTTACCAGCAACAGAAAAGGGGACAAAGGAAAAGAAAAGAAGGCAAAATCTAAGCCATCAGTAAGTTTAGCCAAACAAGAATAAAAAAAAAAAAAAACCAAAATCACAACAGAATGCTTTTTATTGTAGCATTGGTTTTGAGAGACTAGTTCTGAAGTAGAAGGGCTAATGTTCAAAGATAATTTAACACATTTATTTTAACATTTATTTACAGCTGGTTTCTGTAAATGCTACTGATGAACACACGTTTTAAGTAATTCCACTCATATGTCAATAAGAACACATTAGCCTAAGCTAGAGAGTGGTTTGATATAATATTTCATGCTTCTGTGCCATGCCCACGCCCTTGATGCTTCTAAAGCTGCCCAGAGAGTGTGTGCTCATGGAGACAGTTCTGTGCGGGCACAGTGCTTCGAAAACAGCACCTAGAAGAAACCATAGATAAGAATGTAGCAGTCGAATAAATTAAATGGAATGAAGATATGAGGATTTGTTTGTATCTGCATCACCCAGCTTTCTTGTTACTTTGCTAGCTTTTCAAAGGAAAAAAAATATTTATTATTGGTTAGTTTTTTTACTTCCTACCACTTCAGAAATTCTACTCTTTCTTTGTTTTTTTTTTGTTTTTTTTTTTTTTCCCCATTTACTTTCATATTTTCCATAATTCTTGTGGGTAAAATTCTGATTTTACAAGCTGATGTTTCTAAGGTGTCAATTCCTACATATCACAGGAACAAGTAATATTGAATTTTAAGAGTTTTTTTTCTTATTTAGTAAGAGTACTGGAACTTCCAAAGAATCGGAAGCCAGTACAAATATTTAAAGCTAATCTTTAAAACAGTAAAACATTGAGGTAAAGGCATTAAATAGCTTATTCATTCAAAACTAGTCTTAACATCTGAAGCTTTATTGTAGTCATCTTTTGGAGAGAATTAAGAGGAAGCATAAGGGTATCAAGCCCCCTTCCAGATCATTTTGTCAAGGGAAGCTGGGGCATAGGTGAATCACAGTATCAGTTGCCTTTTCTGTGTGTGAAGGCTGAATACCACCTCCATAAGATCAAACAAATTGAAATCAAATTACAGAAGCCCAGATATGGAAATGCAGTGGCCTTCCAGTATCTTAGGGGGGTCTATAAGAAAGCTGGGGAGGGACTTTTTAGGATATCGAGTAACGACAGGACTAGGGGGAATGGGGCAAAGCTGGAAGTGGGCAGATTCAGGCTGGATGTGAGGAAGAAGTTCTTCACTGTGAGCATGGTGAGACCCTGGAATGGGTTGCCCAGGGAGGTGGTTGAGGCCCCATCCCTGGGGGTCTTTAAGGCCAGGCTGGATGAGGCTCTGGGCAGCCTGATCTAGTCGGAGGTGTCCCTGCTCATGGCAGAGGGGTTGGAACTGGGTGATCCTTGTGGTCCCTTCCAACCCTGACAGATTCTGATCTGTTTTAGCAGAGGACTTCAGAGCCCTAATGGCTCAATGGTTGGACTTGATGATCTTGGAGTTCCCTTCCAACCTAAATGATTCTATGATTCTATGAAATCTTGTTACAAACCATATCCATTCTGCAACTAGTGTTGGAAAGCACTGGTGCACCCATTTTGACCAGCACTGCTGTGGGAGACAGTCATATGGGGGCACTGTGGGGCTGCTATTGCTTAATACCAGGGAAATGAGAGCCCTTGCCTTTCGTATGGTGGGCTGGTCCAAGTGGATCAGCTGTGTATTTAGGACAAGCCTAGTGAAGAAGGGTTACTACTGCCCTGTGCTGCCTTGGTTAGACATCACTGTTATCCTCAGGGAATCCAGCATAGCCAAGAGAAAATGGAAAATCTCCAACCTCCTTGCTATTACTGGTAGAAACAAATGTGAGCGCAATGCAAAGGATGAAAACCAGGCTTTGGCAAGGGCCACAGCTGAGCAATGAGAGTGAAAGATAACAGAGGCTGCAGAATTTGGGGGACTTCCAGTGTTAACATAGCAGATTCCGTTTTAGGTTGTTGCAATGAGGTATCGGCTTAGGGAACAGGGAGCTGTAATAGGTCTGTGCTCAGCATCCGCAACAAGGAGAAAAGGGAAGCAGGAGGAAATATTGCTTATTCAAACCAGAGAGATATTAGAGATTAGCTACTGGAAGATCAAAAGCCATTGAAGTGGATTGCAAGTATATGTTATTGAATGGAGTAACAAGACTTTCCAGAATCTGTTTACATATCAGCCATTTGTTCGATAGTCTTCCAGATACGTAGAGATTAATTTAAAATGTAGAATAATGGTGGGATAGAAACTATGGCACACTGAATAAATAACAGGAATTTTGACTAGGATTTGAATTAGCAATATAATACTAAAAAAAATGTTGTGTTTTATTGTGTTCTTAAAGCATGCTTTTTATTTCTAAGTACTTGAAAAGCAACTATATTTTCCCACAGAATTCATTAAACATGTTTCAGTATGTTATGGCTACTAGACCATACTAGATAAGAGAAAAAAATAGGGGGGGGGGGCAGATTCTATTTAATATACTTAGATGCAAGCATTCTAATTTGCTAAATAGGTTTTGGCATTTTATTATACAAAGCAATAAAATTTCTTGTTCCAAACAGAACAGTCAAAGAAGGTATCTGATTAATTAATGGGAAGTTGTATGATTACAAATCCTCTTTTTCTTGTTTTCTTTTCCCTATTTTTGTCAAAGACTTCTATTAATTCTTTTTCCCTTACAGTTGTGGATATGTAACTCAAAAAAAAAAAAATCCAATTCAATTAAAATAGTTTAATTCCTTCTGAAAAGTTCTCATTTACAGATGTTTTTTCCTTGGAACACTTGCCTTGCGTACATCCTCTATTTCTATTGCAAAATGCAATAAAAGCTTATTATTCCAGGAATTGATGCCAATAAGGTGCAATAAATGATCTTGTGAAAAAAAAAAAATTGTGATATTTTATAAATTATTACAGCAGTTTTATCTTACAAAATATCTGTGTGCATCATTCCAGAAAGGTAGTGTGAATTGGCTTATGTAGGTCCACATTAATAAGGATAATGAGTTTGGGCAGGAAAGATTAAATTTCATTAGTTGTGGATCTTGTGCTGGTCATCATTTCACCTGAAGTGAATTCATCACCTGTACCATGATCTCCACAGAAAATGTCTTTCTTTTGCACATGTAATAGTGTTAATGCATAATAATTTGGTTTTGGTTCTACCAGAGTGTATTATAAATGCTTCTCACTATACGTGGAATTTTATCTACGATATCAGTAGGTATGTATATGAACAATCAGCATGTATTAATCTATTTGTACGTTTTTGGCTTTTTTAAGTCTCTGCCAATTGATGTAAGGTAATTTTCTTGTGAGGTGTTATCTTTTTTACTATTTTGCCTCAAAATGTCTCTTTCTTAAACACGTTTTATGTACTCTTTGTAGGTAGTTAGGCCTATAAGATGGCACTGATTTTCTGTCTCTTTCACCTCTTCAAACCTGTAATTCAGTAGCCAGTTTCAGTCTGTGCTGGCAACATGAGCAGTGAAAAGCAGTACCATTAATTTTTCCTCCTCCTATGGTTTCTGAGTTGGGGATTCCTGTTTTACCTCATTAGCAGAAGTGAATCACACTATGAATCTTGCAGTGGCAGAACCAACAGTCAGAATATTCTTGTAAAGCTAGAGTAGGTGTGAATCAGAAATAAGCATCCTTCCCTAAAT